CCCCACCCCCACCGAGCCTCCCCCCACGCCTGGAGGTGCTGGGCTGCACGCACGTGTGACACTCAGCATCCTGTTAGGTGGGGGCTGCGCGGCCTTGTCACATGTCCCGTGAGAAGACAGAGGGCTGTGAGGCGAGGGAGCCGTGCCAAGGTCACAGGGCTGCAGAGGGCCAGGGCCAGAGCTAGACCCACCTCCGCACCCACCCTGTCTGATTCCAGAGTCCACCCAGGGAAGGCGTCCTACTGGGACACCAGGGCCTGGGGAGGCGGCTTTGTCAGCCTTTCTGCGGGCCCTAGATGTCCCTACGTGGTCTGTCTGCCACCTAGCACGTGCTTCCGTGGGCTTCGGAGGTCTCCCACCACACCACTGAGTAATGTGACCACATGGGGCCCAGGGGACCTGGAGGGGGTCACTAGCTCTCTTCAGATGGGCAGTCTGAACTCTGGAGTGGGCAAAATGGACCATGGGGCCTGCTGACCTTTAGCAATGATTGAGTGCCTGCTGTATGACCCTGGCAGGTGACCCAGGGTGAAATGAGTGGCATGTAGGGCGTGCTGCAGGGGAGGTGGGAGCTAGGTCTCTGGGCAGAAAGCAAGGTGAGCGTGCCAGGGATGAGGCAGGGAAGCCAGGAGGACTTCCCGGAGGAGATGGCATGTGATGCACACCTGGAAGGGCCGACAGGCTGCATCCTACAGTGAAGCGGAGAACAGAGGACTATTTCTGCTGGGCAGGGTCGCCAGGGTCGTCCTGGGGGCTAAACCTGAGGGAGGCTGCTCTGGGGAGTTGTGTCCTCTTCCTGCGGAGAGGGAGGCTTAACAACAGGCCCTGTGAAGCACCCACTGTGTGCCAGGCCGCTGGAATGGGAGCGATCAATGTCCCGTCTGGGTCTCCCCTCAGGGAGGCAGTAGAGCCTTTCCTAGCAGCTGGGGGCAACCCTGCTGTCAACCCCGCCTGCCTTGGATGCGTCCGCCGGAAGGGTCCCTGGCCTTCCTGAGTTTTGTTGCCCCTCCACAAAGTGAGGACAAGCATTTGACGTCGCGGGGTGGGGGTGGGCTGAAGGAGATGAGGTGTGTAAGGGGCTTACATGTGCCTGGTCCCAAACACTCAGTGCCCATAAGTGGGGGCTACCGGTAACATTAGGGGGCTGGGAAGATGCTTGCCGTGGGGGAGACACATACAAGATGCAAAGGCACGCTGTGGAGGGCGGGTCTGCAGAAACCAAGGGAGCCTCCCGGGAGGAGGAGGTGAGAACAGCCGCCTGCAGGAGTTTGCCAGAGGCTGAAAGGCGAGGGAGAGCGGTGCCGCCTTCCATCTCAGTAGCTCCGGAGGGCTTCTCTCCGCTGCCAGGGTGACGAAGCAGCAGAAGAGGGACGGTCTGGGACTTTTTTCTAAGGTGGGGTCCACTGAATAGTTCCTCCCTGGTAGGAAACCCTTCCCACTCCCTAAAAAACAAAGATTGCGAAGGGGCAAGTTCCCCAGATAAGAATAAAACCTCGGGGGGTGGGGGGGACGGCAGGAATGAAGTATTTTCTTCCTGTGTTTAAATTTTTACGGAAAATGTGACCGCGCGGCCGCCGCCCCGGCCATAGCCGGCGGGAGAGCGCTGACGGCTTTGCTTTAAGCTAAAGGAAGGCCGGCTGGCGTCCAAGTTCATCGCCAGAGCCGGCCGCCCG